TTTTTGCTAAGAATATACAAACAGGAATGAGAACATAAAAACACGTATCAATTCAATCCTCCCTCACTCACTCAAAAAAGTGTGGTTTTGATACGGACAAATGAAAACAATCTGCACGTCTAGGATCTTGAGCTGGTCTTTAATTGTCAATCTGGTCTTTAAAACTCAATCTCAGAACTGTCTGCATAAATTTACTTGGATTTGCAGTGTCGAGTTTGAAGCAAACACGTCATTAACGTTGGACGTGTCATTTCCTGTGCAGATCTGATGATCGAAATGGAGGACCACACTAACGACATTAGCGAGGGCCGGATCCCGTTCCTGGACTACAAGACCTACACCGACCGCGTCTTCTTCCTGCCCTCGAAGGATGGCGCCAACGACGTCATGATCACCGGCAAACTGGATATCCCAGAATCCCGCAGGGCTACGGTCACCCAGGCGCTGAACCAGTTCTCCAACCTGCTCAACAGCAAAACTTTCCTCATCAATGTATGAAACACACACACACACAAACTGTAATTATGATCCATTTAAAGACTCCCGCTAAGATTTGCAGTTAATAGCGGGAAAGGTCAGTAAATTAATATTTGACGATAATTGTCGAAGGTTTCTCATCAGAAACAACACACATCGGTGATGAAGCCTTTAGACATTCGCTCAATTATACCGAATGACACTAAAACGGCCCCAGAGGACTCGATCAGCTCCTGCGCTCTCATTAAAGTCTTTTATATTCATGGCACAAACACAATTAAACATTAACATCTAATGACACACATGCATACACATAAACAAGCACACGTCAGTGTTTTAAGACTGGCCTGTAATTATCTCCCCAGTGTTTATATCGTTACCCTCCACACACAAAAGTCCATCATACAGACAGTAATAAACATAATAATCATTAGAATATAACAAGATGTAAATCTGAATGCGGCACACTTTTAATCACACAGGGAAGTCGATTTGATTTAATTAGCGTTTGTAAACTGTAATCTCTCTGTGTGAAGTTTATCAGAACGCTGGAGGGCCGTCCGGATTTTAACGCCAGGGCCAAAGTGTATTTCGCATCTCTGCTGACCGTAGCGCTTCACGGTAAACTGGAGTATTACACAGACATCATGAGGACGCTTCTGCTGAGGCTCATGGAGGATTACGTTCACAGCAAGAACCCTAAGCTGCTGCTCCGCAGGTGAGATGCCGTCTGACACTGCATGCTAAGGTCTGATGCATATTGTACAACATTTTTCAAAATTCGTAGTCTGCAGTCTGATTGGCTGGCTTTATGCAACTTCTGGAAGCCAGGTGTTATGAGTTAGTCAGGAACAGTGTTATTTTAGTTGTATTTACATACTTGTGCAGTACTTATTAATATTCAGAATTTGTTTTTATTTTTATAATTTCAGTTTTCACACATCCCTATTTTGTTTTAAAAAATTAAGCTTACTTTTGAAACCATTTTCAATATGCATTATTTTCATTTTATTTCAATTGATTATATTTTCATTAGATTCTCATGATTATAATATAGTGATACATAATTCATTCATTTATTATATGCATTGGAGTAATAAGGTTTTTGCCATAAAATAATGAAAATGTTAATAAATAATGTTTATCTTGATCCTAACAATAGACTTGTTAAAATTATTTTGTAATATATATTATGATTATGATTATTATTATTATTTAATTCTAAGATCATTAGAATAGATTCTCTTTGTTATAATACAGTGATTTATATATATATATATATATATATATATATATATATATTTCTGTGATTTATGTTTCTATCAATAAATATGAATGAAACCTCAAAACTGGCTAAGTGACAAAAATGCACGTAACAGGTGATCTATAATATATATATATATATATATATATAATTTATTAATTTATTATATGCATTGCAGTAATATGATTATGCTTTAAAACAATGAAAATGGGAGCAAAATAATTTATCGTCATTCATTGTCAAATTAATATTTTTGTCTTTGTTGTCAAAAAATAATGTTACAGTGAAAAAAATCTTAATGCTCCTAATAAAATATTTCTTTTTCTTTTTGTAAAATATATTTCATTTCTGGTGCATTGATTTTGGGTCAGGTTTTGACAGGATGTTCTCAAGGCATAACTAGTCACGATTTCCCATATGAAGTTTGTTTATGAGGTTTGTGGCACTGAATCATATATTTACATTTACATTTAGTCATTTAGCAGACGCTTTTATCCAAAGCGACTTACAAATGAGGACAATAAAAGCAATCAAAACTAACAAAAGAGCAACAATGATATATATAATATGATATATATTCAAAAATATTCAAAGTTATATTTTGAGGCAGTTAAGACAAGCAAACATCCTCAAGCATGACTTTGAAATAGATGGTTATTAATTTTGGATGGACCACAAAGCCAACCTCTAAATGTCACATAAAACATATCATGTTAGTCAAAAGTCTCTACATGAACAACACAAACCTCACTGTGCCAAAGCCCATCCGCATGCTCAGAACTCTCCAGCACCATGTTCACATGCTTGTTTGATTGTCATAGTTGGGTGCTGATGCTAATTCTGGTTGTTTGTTATTGAGTCAGATGAGTGTTGAAGTGTTGATTAGAGCAGTAGGCCGCTGGAGGCCGTACGTTACACTGATCTTACCACAGTTAAGAAACCACTTCAAATCACTGTGACGTACGGCCTCGAGTGGCTTGTTGCTTTCATGAACAGCCAGCAACCGCAACACAATAAAACGCATCCGTGTTCAATAAATAACTGTTTATTATTAATAATAATCATAATAAACAATTATTCTGTCATGTAATGTAGCCATGTAGCCTGACTGCTGGCTGTTTAGCAACTTGTGTTAATATAGTGTTTAACAGATCAGATTGGATAGCGGCTTCAAATGAAACGATTTCAGAGATTTTATAATATATAGAGATTTTATAATAATAGAAAATAATATTAGGTGGTTTGCAGAGGAAAAAGCATCAGTTTTAGAGTAGGGATTCCCAACTTCTTTAGTCAGAATAATTTTGTGTGTTTGCTTGTTTGTTGTTGTTTTTTATTGTTGTTTATTATTTATTAATTGTTTAAAAATATTTGTATTATTTTGATTATTGAATTAAATATTAGCTATGAAGTGAATATTAGTAAGTGTGTGCAAGTGTTTTAATATAAAGGTAATCTTTTTTATTTTATTGTTTTTATTTATTTTTTGTTTAAAACTATTTAATTATTTTTATGTGAAATTATACATTTTTATGATTTCGTTATTTTACAATTTTATAGTTTTTTTTAGCAACTCGTGAACTCCATTTTGGGAAACACTGTTTTAGTATCGGGATTTAATGATCAAGTCGAATCTTGATCTGAAAGCGTTTTAATTTGATATTACATTAGATGGGCTTTATTAGTATTTTAAGGTTTTGTGAAGCTTTGATATTCATGAGTGTGATGATAACGGTGCTTAATGAAGTAGCGTATGTTCTTCATCTGCATGAATCAGCTCTTCAGTCGCTCACACACTTGAACTGTAGATTCTTCAGAGCCTCCGCTGATGTACAGGTGGAGTACAGGTGGAGAAATGGTTGTCTGTGTAATGTGCTGGTGTTTGTTCAGGACAGCGCCGGAGAGCCGCTCTACAAACTCTTCAGAGCCATAAAGCACCAGATTGAAAAGGGGCCGGTGGACGCACAGGTCAAGAAAGCCAAGTACACGCTGAATGACACTGGCCTTCTCGGAGATGACGTGGAGTACGTTGTGCTGGTATGTGTGTTTGTTTAGAGGTTTTCTGTAAGTCCCTCTGGGAAGTTCCCACATTCAGAAGTCCTAACAACAGCCTGATGTGATTTGGTCAGAAGAAAATGGACATGGAGTTTCCTCACTTGAAAAAAAATCACTTTTTTTAGTGGTGCTACAACATAATGATGACAATTATGTCTTCTTTATGCATGTTAACTACATTCAGTCAAATTTAAGATAAAAGCATATCTAGTACACATTCATACAATTTTTTTTAAATTTTTTTTTACCTTTATTTAACCAGGAAGAAACTCATTGAGATTAAAAATCTCTTTTTCAAGAGTGTCCTGGCCAAGATAGGCAGCAGTACAACCATACATACATACATACATACAGGTACAAAATATAGTAACATAAAACAACTGAAATAGCGAATCCTTTAAAATAAATCCCCAATCAATAACACATCAG